TGTGAGGTGAGGACGAACGTCACTCGACGAATGAAGAGGCGAGACAGCGCATTGTACCTTGTGTTCAAGGTGTCGCTGAGGCTGAGTGAGCGCTGGCGTCCGCTGACGGAGGCAGAAACCTTATGGGCTTGCTGGTGGACGGAGCGCGTTCGAGGACGGTATCTTGGCCGAGCTGCCGGTGAGCGTCGAGGGGGCCGCCGCTTGATGAGCTAAACCACCTGGAGGCAATTTCCACAACATTTGACGCAAGCTCCAAATAACCCTTGCAGCATTATTTTTCCAAGCAGGTCACAACGACCTCGAGAGAGCAAGCATCACGGACTTATTCAAAGAGGCGCACAAACACCACTTGATTACTGACCGTGAATACGAACATCTCGATGGCATTCGCAAAACTAGGAATGCCTATGCTCATTTTCGCAAGCATGGACATAAGGAAAGTGTGGGGCGTCGGGCGATTGAGGACGAGAGAGCGTTCTACGGGTGTGGTGGACCCCACAGTTAGGACAACGAAGAGGCCAGGTTAAGAGAGACTCCCGCTGGAAAGTCTGACACTACCTCACGAGATGATAACGTCGATGCCTGCTCTGGTAAACACCTGAGTGGCCTTCCTTCTGCAAACACCTGAGCCGGAGTCCGATAGCCCAGAGACTGGTGTGGCCGCTCTCGATTGTACAAGTCCAGGTAAGCGTCAATTCCTCTCCTGGCTTCACTACCATTGCGATAAGCTTTCAGATATACCTCCTCGTATTTGACGCTCCGCCACAAACGCTCTACAAAGATATTGTCCAGGTATCTACCCTTGCCATCCATGCTGACCTTGATCCCCCGCAAAAGCAGCAGGCCACAGAAGGCTTCACCGGTGAACTGGCTACCCTGGTCGGTGTTGAAGATCTCCGGCTGTCCTTTGCTCAAGGCTTCTTTCAGGGCCGCGATACAGAAGCCCACCTCCAGAGTATTGGAGAGCCTCCAGGCCAGCACGTACCGGCTGTGCCAGTCCATAATGGCCACGAGATAAAGGAATCCCCGGGACATGGGCAGGTAGGTGATGTCGGCTGCCCAAACCTGATTGACCCTGTCGACTGCTACTCCTTTGAGCAGGTAAGGGTATATCCTGTGTTCCGGCGCAGGCTTGCTGGTATTGGGCTTGCGGTAGATGGCTTCCAGCCCCATTGCCCGCATCAGTCGCCGTCCCGCTTGCGGTTGACCTGATGCCCCTGAGTCCGGAGCCAGGCCGTCATCCTGCGAGAACCATAAAAGGGCGTCTTCAGATACTGCCGGTCCATCCCGGCCATCAGGTCCAGATCCGCCGGGTTAGCCGGTGTCGGCCGGTAGTACACCGCGGAACGGCTGAGCTGCAACAGACGACACTGCTTTACTACCGAAAGCCCGGGGTGTCCTCGGTCTACCATAGCCAGACGCCGGAGACGACTCATAGCCCGGACTTGCGCGACAAAAAATCCCGCTCCACCTTGAGTTGCCCAATCTGCTGGTAAAGATGGGCAGTCAGCGCTTCCTGGTCCCTCTCCGCCTTTGAGGTATCGTTGCCGAAGACCTCGGGCGCTCCCTGAATCAGGGCTTTCTTCCAGGCATGAATCTGCGTGGGATGAACTTCAAACCGGCTGGCCAACTGAGCAACGGTCTCTTCCCCCTGGAGGGCGGCCAAGGCTACCTTGGCCTTGAACGCCGGGCTGTGCTTCTTTCTGCTCTGCTTCATTTTCCTGCTCCTCTATTTCCATTATTTCAGGAGCGGGGCTCTCTCTTAACCACCTGTCCGATTTATTGGGTCCACCTCAGTGGACGACTGCCTCGGAATGCGCGACAGGTGGGTGATCGGTATCCGCTTCACTGGAGCATTACCGTGAGCATTCCATCGTCATTCCTGCAGGAAATAAATGCCAGAATTCTTGCCTTCGACAATCTCCTCGCCGTCAGTGAAAATGGAAGCAGATATAGCCGGCACGGTAAGTTAAGGAGGTTCAAATGCAAGCGGAGAAGGACGAAAACAAGATTGAGTTGAGGCAGGTTGAGGGCTCCGGCGTGATTTCGGGTGGCGTGTCGAGGTCGCTATGTGAACTTGCGATCAAGTGGGCTAATGATAATCCTGCTGTAGAGCTACGCCTGGATGAAGTGGATCACATAATTGCTGCGATGTCACCATTCCTAGAGGTACTGGCCTCAGATGCGTTCATGAATGAAGCCAAGCAGCGGTATCAGGAAGAAGGTGTAAAGCTCGAGTTCGACGTGGCAGTTTATCTGGCAATCTTATATATGACGTGGCGTGTGCCGTACACAGGGGAGGTTCGTCCTCCCAGTATATCCGTGATTACGAGATCTTAGCGAGCGAAGCCAGACGCAAACGTCGTTTGCATGAATTGATTGAGAAATCGGTCTCAAACCCTTTGGCATACAGCGCACTTCAAGAAGTTGTCAGTGAAGTAAGGCTACGTGATGGGTCCTTCCCAGAGGAACTGTATGAATGGATTCTGGATGTAGCCGAAGGAAAGCGCGAAATGCCTAAATTGGGCCGGGGAAGGAATCCATACGCGAACCAAATCCGTAACGAGTTGATTGTCCGAACAATCCGAGCCCTGATTGATTGTGGTTTCACCGCAACCAGGAATGACGCGTCGGAGCCCTTGTCCGCCTGTGATGTAGTGTCACGTGCATTAAAGGCACACGAGATAGAATTAACATACGATTCAGTCGCGAAAGTGTGGGCCAACAATAAGGTTATTCCTCTTAATGACAACACGAAAGAAGAGTAGTTGTCCATCAGATTATCGACTTCACACAATTGCAAAATCATAAGGAGCAGGCAAGATGGATGGACAGAATCTCAACGAATTCGTAAACATAAGGTGGACGGAACAGCCCTCGTATGAGTCCGCGATAAAGGTCGGACGGTGCGCTTATCTGATTGAATGGGATGGTGAAGTCTTTTACGTGGGTTGTACTGACGATTTCGGGACACGGTACCTTGGAGGCTATCGTTTTGGATAGAGGGTGGCCTTGCACATGGGGCTAAACTATTCACAGGCCAACTGTGTGGGGAATTAAAGTTCCGGCCCACAGGTAAAGACCTTCTGAAAGAAACAAAAGACCGCATTAAGCAACAACTGAAGGCCGTCGAAGCCATACTCATCGATAGGCTACGGCCTCAGCAAAATCGACAGATCCCGTCTTATGTCCCTCGGTTGCTTCTCGAACATTCAGGGGAAGTGCCTGCGTGTCTAGTGGACTGAAGAAGCGGATGAGTGCTTGAGTGGGCATCCTGATAGCTCGCCCAGTCAAGGCAACACTTTCCCCGAAACATTGTTGCTTATTCGGGGTACGTTTTCAGGTTTAAGGGGAGCGCTCAGGTAGGGAGAGGTTGGTCGAATGCAACAAAATCGGGTTTTTATTGCATCACCCCTTAATGCGCTGCCCTGACAATATCGATCATGTGCGCTGTTGAACGTCTATTGACCCGAGGTGTACCCCACAATATACTCATCATCAGGCCGAACGGCGTAGCGTAGCCTTCGTATGTCCCATCAAGAAAGCGCATCTGAGGAGGTGAGGGCGAAGTGAAGGAGATACTCCCCGACTTGGACATCTGGCAAAGCGAGGGCGAGGAAATCGCACTTGCAACTGTGATCCAAGTCCAGCGTTCGGCTCCCAGACCACCCGGGGCGCGCCTGCTTATGACACGTAGTGGACGCTTGTCCGGCTCGGTGAGTGGTGGCTGCGTAGAGGCCGACGTCTTCGAGCGGGCGATGCAGATTCTAGACAGTCGCAATCCGGAGGTGGTGAACTACGGCATTGCCGACGAATTGGGGTTTGAGGTGGGGCTGAGTTGTGGAGGCTCTATCGACGTTTTGATCGAGCCGTTTATTTCTGACCGTGAGTGGGGCATCTTTCGCCGGGCCGTGGAGTTTGAGGAGGCAGTAGTCTTTGCTATCGGTTTGGCGCCAGAGCCTTTGACCTGCCGCAAGCTAACGAGGCTGATCGAAGGCCGGTCCGTCGGATCGATAGATCCTTCGCTCGATAACCTTATAGCTGAAGAGAGCGACCAGTTGCTGCAAGTTGGAGGGGCGAAAGTGGTCAACTTGCCCTGGCAGGGTGAGCAGGCGCTGGTGTTTCTCGAGGCAATTCGTCCTTCGCCCAGCCTGCTGATCGTCGGCGCTACCCACACTGCCATCTCCCTGTGCCGCCTAGCCTCAGAAGTAGGCTTTCAGGTAACTGTCATTGACGCGCGCAGCGCCCTGGCAACACCGGAACGTTTCCCAGATGCCAAACGGTTAATCCATGCCTGGCCCGAGGAAGCGCTGTCGCAGGTCACGCTGGACAGCTACGCCTCTCTGGTAGTCCTTACTCATGACTCGAAGTTCGATATCCCCGCGCTGGCATACGCCCTTCGGTCCGAGGCACGATATATCGGCGCGCAGGGCAGTCGGTTCACTCATGAGGGACGTAGGCAAAAATTGAAGCAGCAAGGCTTCAGTGATGCTGAAATGGCCCGCATCCGATCTCCCATCGGACTGGACATAGGGTCTCGCACTCCTGCCGAACTGGCAGTGGCGATTTTGGCGGAAGTGTTAGCCGTGCAATACAAGCGGGACTGACGGATCTAGCTGACAGGCACTGCGTATCTGTCGGGCGCCCGCTCAAACTCTTCCTTGCAACTCAGGCAACAGAAGTGGAAGGTAGTCCCGTTGTAGTTGGAATGGTAGCGGGACTCGGCCACATTGATTGTCATATTACAGATAGGGTCTATGGAGTCCACCCGAGTGGCTTGCGTCGCAGGCTCCGGCGAAACCCCCTTCCAATCGGCGCGCATTCTCTGGACAATCTCGGTCAGAATGCTCAGGGCGATCTCTTCCGGCGTCTCGGCGCCTATATCCAGCCCCGCCGGATATTTCACTCTTTGCAGCGCATCAGAGGAAATGCCTCTGCCCTGAAGATACTCAATGACAGCGCGTCCCCTCCTCGGACTGGCAACCAGCCCAACATAACCGGCTTTACCGCTGAGAATCTCCTCAAGTGCCTCCTCGTCATAGTGTCCCATAGTTGCTACTACTACATAGCTGCGAGGGCCTATCAGTTCTCTCATACCTTTCAGTTGTTGCACCAGCGTCTCGGCGTTGGGGAACAGTTCTCTGGTGGCAGACGGGTCGCAGGCGTAAACCCGAAACTCCAGGCTGTCGCCCAGTGCGGCCAAACTCCGCGCCATGGGGGACTGACCGATCACAAACAGTTCGGGCTTGGGCAGACAAGGCTCCAGATAGATAGCCAGCGTGCCTTCACTCTGACATGTCATTGGGATGAGTACGGTTCCCTCCAGCCCGACATCCACCTCTTGCGGATTGGGGGCCAGAAGCACAAGCCGAGCCTGCCCGTCCTGTAAAGCCTTCAGCGATTCCTGCGTAACCAGGGGCTGGGCGCAACTGCCGCCGACCCAGCCATGGAAGCTTCCGTCTTGCTGGACGATAGCCTTGGCACCCGGTTTTGCCGAAGTAGGCGGCTTGCAGGCGACAACGGTCGCAAGAACGAAAGGCTTGCTCTGTTCCTTTAGGACAGTGGCTTGTTCCAACAGGTCATCGAACATATCTGCCTGCCTTGTGCGTCTGATGGTCGCAGGCTGTCCATTGAGGACAGCCTGCATGTCGGTTCAGAGGACTATTCTTGATAAACAACTCTTTGATGTTATGCGGAACGACTCTTAGTCGGTCACTCCGTTTTCGCGCAATGCCTGCCACACCTTGGCAGGGGTGATGGGAATATCGATATTGCGTACTCCAAGATGCCAGAGGGCATCCACAACTGCGTTTGCGATTGCAGCCGGAGCGCCGACAGTAGCCGACTCGCCGATTCCTTTGGCTCCAAGGGGATGATGCGGAGACGGTGTGCAAGTCATGTCGGTCTCCCACGCTGGAGTCTCCACAGCGGTCGGCAGCAAATAGTCCATGAACGTGCTGGTGAGGTTCTGGCCGTTCTCGTCGTACACAATCTCCTCATAGAGCGCGGGTGCCAGCCCCATCGTCAGACCACCGTGGACCTGTCCTTCTACAATCATCGGGTTGATTACGTTGCCGCAATCGTCCACGGCTACAAATCGGCGTATTTTGACCTCGCCGGTCCCCTTGTCTATATCCACGACGCAGATGTAGCTGCCGAAGGGATAGGTAAGGTTAGGCGGGTCATACGAAGAGTGTGCTTCCAACCCGGCCTCCATACCCGGCGGGTGGTCGGTGTAGGCGGCGAAGGCGATTTCCTGAATGGTCTTTCGACAAAGACGGAGAGCCCCGCACGAAGAACTTTCCGGCTCCCACTCCAGATCCTCCTCGCCAACATCGAGAAGGTAGCTGGCGATGGCTCTTGCTTTGTCTCTAATCTTCCGTGCCGCAACGGCTCCGGCAGCCCCCGCGGTGGCGGTGCTGCGGCTGGCGTAGGTGCCCAGACCATAGGGAGCAGTATCGGTGTCTCCCTCTTCCACAGCGATATCGCTTACAGGTATGCCCAGTTCCTCGGCGATAATCTGGGCGTAGGTAGTTTCGTGTCCCTGTCCTTGGGAGCGTGTGCCGAAGCGGGCGGTGGCCGTGCCCGTCGGGTGAATCCGAATATCGGCGCTGTCGAACATCTTGATGCCCAGAATGTCGAAGTGCCGGGAGGGACCGGCACCCACAATCTCAGTGAAGCTGGATATGCCGATGCCCATCAACTCTCCCTGCTCACGCTTCTCGGTTTGCTCACGCCGCAGGTCTTCGTAGCCGATCAAGTCCATCGCCTTTTCGAGGGCGCCCTGATAGTTGCCGCTGTCGTATTCCCAGCCCAGAGCTGATCGATAGGGGAAGGCATCCGGCTTGACAAAGTTCTTCATGCGAAACTCGGCGGGGTCGATTCCAAGGTCATGTGCCACGATGTCCGCCATGCGCTCCACCGCGTACACAGCTTCGGTGACCCGGAATGAGCAGCGGTAGGCAATCCCACCGGGTGGCTTGTTGGTGTAAACGCCGTCCACCTCAACGAAGGCGTCACTGAAGTCGTAGGAACCGGTGCAGATGTGGAACAGGCCTGCCGGAAACTTGGATGGGTTGGCGGCAGCGTCCGTATAGCCATGATCGGCAACGGTCTTGATTCGCAGAGCCTCCATCGTTCCGTCTTGACGGGCAGCCACTTCCGCGGATATGTGGTAGTCCCGGGCGAAGGAGGCGGATATGAGGTTGTCCATGCGGTCCTCGACCCACTTCACGGGATGACCCGTGAGGAAGGAGGCAGCGATTGCCAGAACATAGCCGGGATAGACCGGCACCTTGCCGCCGAAGCCGCCTCCAATATCCGGAGATATGACCCTGATCTTGTGCTCCGCCAATCCCAGGTGACCGGCAACTAAGGCGAGGACTGTCCGGATGGCGTGGGGAGCTTGAGTGGTCATCCACACGGTCAGTTTTTCTTGGACCGAGTCCCACTGTGCGACGCAGCCACAGGTCTCAATAGAGGAGACATGGATACGCGGGATGTAGATATCCTCTTTGACCGTTATATCGCTCTGGCTGAAGGCACGGTCGGTGCGGTCCCGGTCACCGACCTCCCAGTGCCAGATGTGGTTACTTTTTTCCTCTTTGTCTTCTCGAACAATTGGGGAGTCCGGCTCCAGAGCTTTGAAAGGATCGACCACTACAGGCAGCGGTTCGTATTCCACATCCACCGCGCTGACGCCATCGGCAGCAGTGTACCGGTCGGTGGCTAACACGGCTGCCACTTCCTGTCCGTCAAATTTTACCGTGTCCACAGGCAGGACCATCTGGGTATCACCCATTAGGGTGGGCATCCAGGCGAGGTTGTACTGCTCCAAGTCCTTTCCCGTTATGACCGCCAGAACCCCGGGTATAGCCAAGGCTTTCTCAGCGTCGATGCTCTTGATTCGGGCATGAGCCACCGGACTTCGAACGATGTCCAGGTGAAGCATTCCCGGGAGCTTGAGGTCATCGACATAGTTGCCCTTGCCTCGGATAAAACGGGGGTCCTCCTTGCGACGGACCGAGTGCCCCATACCGCCGATTTCGGGCGGTGTTCGCATAGTCATCACGCACTCCTCTCACGTAGCTTCTCAGCAGCAGATTGGTAGGCTTTGACAATGTTTACGTACCCAGTGCAGCGGCACAGGTTGCCAGAAATGGCCATACGAATCTCATCATCGGACGGGCTGGGATTGTCTTCCAAAAACGCGACGCCAGTCATCATCATCCCTGGCGTACAGAAGCCACATTGCAGGCCGTGTTCTTCGGTAAAAGCCTCCTGGATGGGGTGAAGCTCCCCACCCTGTTCCAGGCTTTCCACAGTCTTCACCTCTCGGCCATTGGCTTGGACGGCAAAGACAGTGCATGACTTGATTGGCCTTCCATCCATAAGGACGACGCAAGCTCCGCAGTGCGTTGTATCGCAACCGATGTGAGTCCCCGTAAGGTCAAGCGATTCACGAATGAAATGGACCAGAAGGAGTCTGGGTTCCACTTCCTCTGTTCGTTCCTCTCCGTTGATTGTAACTTTGATCTGAACCATGGCGCTCGACTCACTTCTGTGGTTATGTTGAATCTTCCGGAGCGGGTGAGTTTGCCCGCACCACTAGCCGGCTCGCTCCAAGGCCAGACGTAGCGCTCGACCGGCTATCACTCTTACCATGTCACGCTTGTACTCTTCGGAGCCCCGCAAGTCCGCGGAGGGCTGAGCTTCTTGCGATGCCAGCCGCGCAGCCTCACGAATCGTCTCATCATCCAGCCTCTTGCCCACGAGGAAGGCCTCGGCCGTCCCTGCCTTAATGGGAATCGGGCCGGCGTTAGTCAGGCCGATGCCCGCTTGCTGGCACACTCCATCGGCTGCGGTGATCACGGCGGCAACCCCGGCAATAGCGTAATCGCCCACCTTTCTCTCAAGCTTCAGGTAGGCACCGCCACTGCCTTGTGGAGGTGTGGGAATTCTGATTTCCGTGAGGATTTCCCCCTGATTGAGGGTAGTCATCAGAGGCCCCTCAAAAAAGTCCGACACCGAGATTACACGCTGCCCGGCTGCTCCCACAGCAACCACTTGCGCTCCCAGAGCCAGCATAGTGGCGGGATGATCGTTGGCGGGGTCTCCGTGCGCCAGATTGCCGCCTACGGTAGCCATATTGCGTACTAATGGATCGGCGATGACAGATGTTGTGTCTTGGAGGATGGGATACTTGGCGCGGACGATCTCCGATCTGTCTAGGTCGGCCTCTCGTGTGAGGCTCCCAATACGGAGGAAGTCGTTTTCTTCGCTGATGCCAGCCAGTCCGGGTATGCGGTTAATGTCCACGACATACTCGGGGGCGGCCAACTGTAGCTTCATCAGTGGAATCAGGCTCTGACCGCCGGCTAGCACGACGGCTTCCGAGCCGTGTTCGTTAAGTAGGGAAACTGCTTCGTCAAGCGTTTCCGGGGCGAAGTACTCAAACTGAGATGGAATCATGAGGCCCTTCCTTTTCATTCAGGCCGAGAGTCTATAATGTAACCTTGGGGGGTGTGAAAGTCAACACGACCTCAGACTTGGGAAGGGCGTCGGCAGCCCCGAAATGGACGACGAGCCTGGCTTCACTGCGGTGCGGGCTCTCAAGACGTCCGCTTCTGGGCGCTCACCATAGGGCAGATGGCTTCGAGCGCCCCAATGTCATACGTGATTCGTCCTCATGTACGGGATCGTGTTCGGTGGTCTCAGTCCCCTGACGGCTGCCATCCGTGGGAACTACTTCGGTCGAAAGGCTTCTGCGACCATCATGGGTATATCGCAGTTTCCGATGAGCATAGCCATGTTATTCGCGCCGTTGTTCGCGGGCTACATGTTGGACACGAGCGGGACATACTTAGTGCCGTTCACGACATTCGCCGCCACTATCAGCAGCGAAGTCGACTGGCAGTTCCAGAACCATCTCTCTTCCCTCCGCGCGGCGCAAGAGCGGCCACTACACCGGCAACAGTTGAGCCGGTAAGCCCCAGGGCAAGATCGGCCAATGTGTCTATGTAGGCCGTTTCAAACTCAGAGGAGTTGCGAATGAAGGCGACGTACTCCGCGATCTCCCACACGATGGCTGTCGTGGCGCCGAAACCGGCCACATAGGCCAGTGTTCCCCAAGCTCTTACATGGTTTCGCCATGCCAAGGTGCCGATGGCGCCCGAAAGCAGTGTCCAGTTGACGAGATGGTTGGCGTCGTCCCACCACCAGATCGTGTCATATAGATCCAGCGTGTTGCCGACGGTGTCGATGAGGAAGGGTAGAGTGAGAAGGATGTCAACTGTGTAGGGGTAGGACGCCCTCCTCCCAGTCAAGCCCCAGGTAATAGGAACCACCAGGGCGGCAATCGGGTAAGTGACCAGACACCAGAGGAACACCTTACCTTCGAACTGTTGCAGCCCCGAGAGTGCCCCGAACACCAGCAGGCAGATCAACACGGCCTTCACTGCAAAGGTGAGCCAGAAAGCCCGCGAGTAAACCTCGACGCCCACGGTTGTCCGTAATCTTCTCACGATTTCCGCCATAAGGCACCCCTACCTGAACTGACCATCGACAAATCGTGCCATATTCTGCCAGGTTGCACTTCTAGGATGTTCGCACTATGTGACCCCAAATGACGGAGTCAATCGCCTTAATGGGCGTGTCAACTCACAGGATAAGGAGACCTAGTGGTCTATTTCAGCTTTGCAATGAACTAGCAACAATGGTTACCATAACAAGCGCTTTCTGAACCAAACTACGAATGGCATCAGACAGAAAAGGAGGCGAGATGATTGCGGACCTGGTCGAAGTTACGACACCTGAGGGGATTGCGCTGTCCGGCGCGTATTTCGCCCCGGCCAACGCGGGTCGATCCTATTCGGTGGATGCCGTATTGTTCTTTCACGGCGATGGCGGCCACTTCTACAGCAGCCTTTACCTTGAGATGGGCCAGCGCATGGCGGAGCAGGGCATTGCCTTTCTGACAGCTAACCGTCCGGGGCCACGACCATGTCGCAAACGGTGTCAGGGGAGGGCCGCTCGCCGGCTACGCCTTCGAGTCCGTCGATGACTCGCGAGCGGACTTCGGGGCTTGGCTGGAGTTGCTGCACGAGAGAGGACACCGCCGCATAGCCATCGGTGGGCACAGCGGTGGGGCCGTGCGGGCCGCCTACGCGCAAGCAACAGAGAGGTTCGCAAACGTGGTAGCGGTTATCCCAGTGTCCCCGGGCGAGTACGACCACGAAGGGATCATCGCTCTGCACGGAGAGGACTTCTCAGGGCCGTTTCGGGAGTCGGAACGAAACGTCGCGGAGGGCCGTCCTGACGCGCTGCTGCGTCCGGGAGTTCCATGGGGTTCAATGTGGAGCGCGCGCGCCTACGTGGATTGCTTCAATCGGGACAATCGCTACAGTGTGACCATGCACGCGGCGAACACGGGCTGCCCCACGCTCTTCATATTCGGTTCGGAGGAGTGCGCCGTTGGTGGGCCAGAGGAGCTCCCTGTTTGCGGCGCGGCCCGGCGCGGCCTGGGAGCCGCAGGCCACTCGCACGTTCAGGTTAGCGAGATTGACGGAGCCAACCACGGCTACATCGGACGCGAGGGAGAGCTGTTTGAGACGATGTTTTCCTGGCTTAGCGGGCTTTAGGGGCCAGTAACCGTTGGTGATGGTTCAATGCAAAGTTGAAAGGGTCATTGAGCGGCAAATCTAACATTCCAACTGGCGCTAAGATGGGGGCAAGTCATATTGTCACGGGTTCAATTATCCCAGTTACTTCGACATCGAAGGCCCGTCAGGCGTCAGCACTCGAGATGATGCCCTCGAGGAACTCATAGGATTGTCACCGTTTGCGGAGGACCGCGTAACGCACCATGACCAGGAAGTTAGTGAGGGTTTCGGCGTTGTGAAGGAGGTGCTCGGTTTCGACCAGCACCATGTCGTATCCGGTCTGAGTGAGAGCGCTGACCATCGACCATAATCTACGGCAGGCGTCTTAGCCGTCCCTGGGTCAGCAGTACGAAAGTCATGACCGCAATGAGCGCCAAGCCCATGAATCCGATGACCGTCTGCCCACCAAGGTAGTCGGTGAGGAAGCCCGCGGGCGCGATGCTGAGTGGCATCAGGCCATAGTTGAGCATGAACAGGCTCATAATTCTTCCACGATACTCGGGACTTGCCTTTTCGATTATCAGCGTCTGGTTGAGCGCCTGACGTCCTGAGTCACCTACGCCCAGCAGAACCATTATTACGGCGGCGACATTGTATACGGGTATTGCAGCAATCAATACGAGGCCAAGACCGGACATCATCGACGCGATTATCAAGCCCATGCCCCTATAGCGCTGTCCCATGGACGCGACGTAAAGTGAGCCGAACAGTGAACCCATTCCCATTAGACCGACGAGCAGTCCCATCGAGTCAGGTCCCTGGCGGTAGATGTCAACGACGAACACCGGCAGGATAAACCGGAAGGGCATTGCAAGCATGGTCGCAGCCAGTCCCATCAGAAGCAGTACGAAGAGAATTCGGCGTTGCCACATGTGGGAAATGCCATCGGCGATGTCGCGGAGCACATCTGTCTTTTCTGCACCTGTCCCAGGCCGAACCTGTCTTGGGTATAAATGTGGTCAGGACGACCGATGTCAGCGTTAACGCACCTATAGATAAAATACGTTCCATGGTCCAACCAAGGCGTAAATGCCTCCTGCCAGCGCCGGCGCCGGCGCGGCCATCGTAGTTGCGCTGATGCCCGCCGCGTTCAGCGCCATCGCATTAGTTATCTTCTCAGGCCCAACAAGCTGGGGAATGATGGCCTGTCTCGCAGGCATCATGAATGCCCACAGCCCACCCGTTACCATAGATGAGATGAGGAGGTGCTGCCAGGCTATGACTTCGAAATCGATTGCGAGGCCGATCACCAGAGACAGAGAGCCGGCGACGAGTTGTGCCACCTGTATGATCGTCTTCTTCTCGAACCTGTCAGCGACCACGCCGCCGAAGAGAGGAATGGTTAGCATAGGGACCGCTATGCCCAGATTAATGATACCGAGAACCGAGGCTGAGCCTGTGAGGTCATATACGAGGTAGCTCTGAGCCAGCATCTGCATCTGCGCCCCCGCCATGAGGAACAGCATCCCGATCCACAGAAAGAGGAAGTTACGGTTGGAGAGTGAGTCGAACGTGTTCAGCCGCGGACCCCGAGGAAGGCGCACAGGGATGCGTACCCTGTGTGCATTTGCTGCTGTCTGCGTCGCCGCACGCTGACCGGAGACAGCAGCCGTTGATTGTGCCGAGTCCTGTATAGCAACCATCTTTAATGTCAAGGCCTGAGAGTGGTTGGATCCCAGTGAACACCCGTCCTTGCCATACTGTTGAGGATGGTCAGCAGCTTCCGCGCACACGCAGTGAGAGCTACCTTCTTCGGCTTTCCGGCTTCGAGTAACCGCTGGTAGAAATCGCGTAGTACCGGGTTGAACCGACTGGCCACCAATGCTCCCATATACAGCGTAGAGCGCACTGTAGCTCGACCGCCCCACACAGAACGTTTGCCTCGATATGGACCACTTGTATGTTGCATAAGCCCCACAGATGGGCCAATCTGTGGGGTGGGCGAGAGGGGCGCGTCGGTGACCGCTGGGTGAGCCGAGCTACTGCTCTGGACTGCACCGTGGGACAGTATGACACCCCTCTCGCCGCACTTGTCGCTCCGAACGGATACAAGGGCACCAGGCCCGCATCTGCAAGTGTGGAGGACATCAACCATTATTTCATCGGGAGGTCGAACATGGTAGTCACAGCCGGGGTTGACGTGGGCAAGGCCAGCCTGGACGTCTCAATTTATGAGGGTCCGGTGATACGATTTGACAACACGGTTAAAGGGATTGGAAAGCTGCTGAAGCACCTGAAGGCGCAGGACGTCACCGTGGCTGTGTGCGAGGCCACCGGTGGGTACGAACGAGTGCTGGTAAGCCGGCTGAGAAAGACCGAGATTGCGATGCACGTGGCCCACCCGAACCGTGTGCGCGCGTTCGCGAAGGCGTGTGGGTACGAAGCCAAGACCGACCAACGGGACGCCCAGGTGCTCTCACGATACGGACAGGTATTTCCGGATGCACTAACACCGCAGCGTGAGCTTGAGCCAGAGCGTGAAGCGCTGCGTGACCTGCTCAGCAGGCGCCGGCAGTTTGTGCGGCAGCGAGCGCAGGAAAAGGGTCGTCTTGACAAGGGAATCACTTCTATCGCGACCAGATCTACAAAGCGTCACATCGCCTGGCTGGAAAAGGAAATAGCCCGACTGGATGTGGAGTATCAGGAGGCGTTGGAGAAGTGTATCCCTTTCGCCGACCGTGCCACGCTGTACCGCACCGTGCCGGGCGTCGGGCCGCTTACCTCGGCCACATTGGTCGCCTACCTGCCGGGAGCTGGGCTGTTGGGACAGTAAATCGCTGACTTCCCTGGTGGGGTTAGCGCCCTGGTCAC